GATTACTGTGCTACGAATGCTAACAACAGCAATAATTGCGATAGTGCAGTAATATACTGTACACGGTGGTGCATATTTTTTTCTTGTCACTATATCATAAAAAATGTGTGTGTGTGTGTGTGTGTGTGTGTGTGTGTGTGTGTGTGTATACACCAGCTGGCAGTGTTGGCGTGTGGCTTCGTCATGCGCGTGTACGCAGGAATGCAGGACAAAGGTTTCCTGAGGCAGCTCCACCTGGTCGGCCTGGTGGCCCAGTTTGAAAGCCTGCTCAGCACCTACAGTGAGTTTGGAACCGCAATTAAACAAATGACAATGTTTAGGAGTACAGTACAGTCGTGGTTTTTCTTTTTTTGCTTTGTTTTTTTTTTTTTGGCTGAGTCATCGCATTAATGTGAACATGCCAACCGTCCCAAGGCGAAGAGATCGGCATGCTGGAGGACATGGAGGTGGGCGTGGCAGACCTCCGGAGGGTCGTGTTCAAGGTGACCCAGGCCAGGACGGACCACCTCAGTGACCTTCAGCCTGTGGTGCGAGGCAGACGGTGAGAGCTGTTTCCATCTCGGTACATGAGTTTTGACGCCGACGTGGCACTTCAGTCAATACAGTGGACGTTTAGTTGAAAGTTGCTTCCTTGCATGTAGTATGCATTAGTATTGATGTCCAAGTTGCACATCAATTACTCCGGCGGACATTTATTCAAAAACTGCTTCCCTCAATGTGCCGAAGTCTTTGTCAAATAACAATTGTCCCCTGTCGTGATTGATGCTTAACTTTGGCATTGTGGTTGTGCTCAGGGACCATTTCACTGTGGACGTGGGCGCATCCGTCACTCCGATGGCAATTTCAAAAGCTGTTTCCATCTTGGTGCATGAGTTTTGACGCCGACGTGGCACTTCAGTCAATACAGTGGACTGAGTAGTTGAAATTTGCTTCTTTGCATGTTGTATGCATTAATATTGATGTCCAAGTTGCACATCAATCACTCCGGCGGACATTTCTTCAAAAACTACTTCCCTCAATGTGCCGAAGTCTTTGCCAAATAACAATTGTCCCCTGTCGTGATTGATGCTTAACTTTGGCATTGTGGTTGTGCTCAGGGACCATTTCACTGTGGAGGTCCCACTGCCAGGCCCCGCCTTTCAGAACATGCCAGAGGAAATCAAGGAGGGCCGACCTTTGCGCGTGTTTCCGGTGCTTTTTAACGTGGGCATCAACGAGCAGCAAACCATTGCAGAGAGGTCAGCGTATTTCAACACTTTGAATTTCTCACACTTTTTGATTTTCTCCTTCTGGCAAGGAAGACATTTTTTCTAAGGACCTCCTCATAATTATGACACCAATTAAACATAATTACTACGTGTACACCAAAATGTCAAATTGTATTTTTTCAAGCCATGTCGAGATTAACGCATATTCAAATAGTGGGGCAGGTCCTCAGAGCACGTGACCTTGGAAAAAAAAAATATATATATATACTGGGCCAGAATGTAGTTGCGAAGCGGAGGAAGAATGTGGAGATTCTGTGGAGTGCTGCGGCGGTGAGCATCAACCGTCTCGCGCCTTCCTGGGGGAGGACTGTAAATTTCCCACCCGGTCATGTAAACAAAATAGCCTTGCGTTGCATAAGCCACGCAGTTGGGCTTCGATGCCGAAATACTGTCAGAAAACGCTGTTGAACGCATCAGTTGAACTACACTGTAAAAATATGTCTCACGTCTGCATTTCTGCAGTTCAGCATTAGAGAATTCACATGTTAGCAGATTTTAGGGAGCGGAACCCATCTTCCGCTACACGCTGAAAAATGGAGGATGGGTTCGCAAAAATACTATGATGTTATGATCACTTGTGGCGTCTCGGTGCCAAGGAACTTTGTTGAAGTTGAGTTGAGGAGCGTCATTTGGACATAAGTAGTGCTTAGCTGCTATTTTGGCATCTAGAAAACTATGTTGAAATGAGTTGAGGAGCAAAAGATAGACAAAAGTAGTGCTTTGGCCCTACAATGGTGCTGGGCAATCATGTTGACATGAATTGAGGAGCTTCAGTTAAAAACCGTGCTTTGCCAGTCCAATTTAAAAATTAAATGTAGCCCCTTGTACTCAATTCTTTCCCCCAGTCCTAGATTAATTATTAAACCCACCTGTCCAGGTTTGCCGACGTCTGAACGGAATCAGATTCACCAGCTGCAAAAGTGCCAAAGACCGTACGTCCATGTCCGTCACGCTGGAGCAGTGCGCCCTGCTGCGTGACGAACACCAGCTCAGCAAGGACTTCTTCATCCGCGCCCTGGACTGTATGCGGAGGTAACGACTTCCAACGAATCGCGATTGTGTTTGCTCCGGATTGTTGCTCTTCCGAAAGAATGCGATTAGCCCAAATTCAAGGGTCATTTCATCGAAATCCCCTGACGAGTTGAGGAGCGTCATTTGGACATAAGTAGTGCTTAGCTGCTATTTTGGCATGTAGAAAACTATGTTGAAATGAGTTGAGGGGCAAAAGATACACAAAAGTAGTGCTTTGACCCTACAATGGTGCTGGGCAATCATGTTGACATGAATTGAGGAGCTTCAGTTAAAAACAGTGCTTTGCCAGTCCAATTTAAAAATCAAATGTAGCCCCTTGTACTCAATTCCCCCCCCCCCCCCCCCCCCCCCCCCCCGTGACGAACACCAGCTCAGCAAGGACTTCTTCATCCGCGCCCTGGACTGTATGCGGAGGTAACGACTTCCAACGAATCGCGATTGTGTTTGCTCCGGATTGTTGCTCTTCCGAAAGAATGCGATTAGCCCAAATTCAAGGGTCATTTCATCGAAATCCCCTGATGCACAGTCAGCCGGCCACTTTGGTTTGAAGATGCCATTTTTAGGGGGGGATTTGGGGCATTTCAATTTTAAACAATTCAATGAAAATGTATTGCACATCGATGTGCATTCCAACCGAACTGCACTTAACAAATCGGATTAAAAACTGGATGAAAAATATAAAATAAAAACTTGAAGCCACCACACACCGCTAGTGGTGCATATACTGCACTTTTGGGAATCACTGTACATGACAGGTGGATGACAGGTTTTCGTAACAGGCGCTGTTTGAAAACATTAGCATCCAAAACCAGTGCATCTGACTGACACAAAGTCAGATACAGAAAAATCACAAAACCTAAAGTGTAGCACTCACCGAGTCAACTGTTTGGATAGTGGAATTTTTTCCGAAATAAGGACCATTTCCAAGGCATCGTATCGGAACAAACTTCCCGCAGGGAATTTGTGCGATCCAAAATTGAGATTTTTATCCGGCGACAGAAATTGGCATGACGCCCAAACGGCTCGCTCACAACGAAATTAAATTCATAAATCCACTTCTCACTTTATTTAAATTCTCTTAAAGGTGAAAATAAAATGAATTTAGTTGAACTGACCCTTTGACACAAAGTCAGTTACAGAAAAATCACAAAAGAACCTAAAGTGTAGCACTCACCGAGTCAGCTGTTTGGGTAGTGGAATTTTTCCGAAATAAGGACCATTTCCAAGGCATCGTATCAGAACAAACTTCCCGCAGGGAATTTGTGCGATCCAAAATTGAGATTTTTATCCGGCGACAGAAATTGGCATGACGCCCAAACGGCTCGCTCACAACGAAATTAAATTCATAAATCCACTTCTCACTTTATTTAAATTCTCTTAAAGGTGAAAATAAAATGAATTTAGTTGAACTGACCCTTTAACATGGTTTGCATTTGTGTCCATACACTGGCCCCGCTTGTCACATTTCGCCATCACCACACGCATACGTGAATGTGTTTCCATGGATGCACCACCCAACAACAAAGAAACAACTTCACTCTTGCGAGCGTTCAGGTTCATCAAGTTTCAAACTCGGCGGACCGTGAATGTAAACATCCACACCGAGAGATTAGAGGGTTCAAAACACGGGTATTTTGCTTTTCAACTTTGACAACAATGCGCTTGTGTTGATGCACGCTCGCCATGCCGGAATGCGCTTTTGACCCGTGTGGCCCGCATGCTTTTCCAGCAAGATGACAATACTTATTTCAAAACAGGCTAAGAAAAGATAAGGATGCACAAGTAGGCCAGCGATTAAGACCTGCTCGACTGGTTGGCATGGAGCAACCTCAGTGGCGAACACGGATTCTGCGACACTTGCGCTCTCAGTTGCAACAAGTGGTGCCACCACGTGTAATTCAATACGACATCTATTTTTGTCCCTTGAGGGCTTCATGAACACGGTAGGACTGCCTACTGACTCAAAGATAATTTTGTGTCGCTATGGGGGAACCAGTTTCTCCGCCTCAGCACCTCGGGCTAATTTTAAGACTCCCAAGGTTACAGTTTCTTTGTTTACCACGTCCAGAAAGGATATTCTTCTAATCTCAAGGATGCAAAAGGAAAATCCTCCCAATCCCAGTGACAAGATTTGTATACCTTGACGTACAATATTATACTTTTCACCTGAAACAGTCGGTCATAGAGGACCAGTAGACTCGAAGGTAACTGTTTCTTGGATACAATATTATACTTTTCACCTGAAACAGTCAGTCGGTCGGTCGGTCAAAGAGGACCAGTAGACTCGAAGGTAACTGTTTCTTGGTTTACCGGAAGGTTAAGGTATGTGGTATGTTGAAGTCAGCGGTGTGAAAAGTACAAAAGCCAAATCCTCGAGGGTACAACCTCGTGACAATTATTGGATCCATGAGGCTACACTAATATACTTTTTGACCAGAGACTCTTGGTAGGTGGATTGATCCATTGTCTGAAAGGGGTACACTTCACTCCAAAGTAACTGTTTCTGTGATTCCCAGCACCAGAAAGGTATGTTCCCGAGATGATGAGGTCGAGGGTATTGTACATGAGCAGAATCCTCTTGGGAGTAAGCCCAATGACAAGTTTTGTATCCCTGAAGGTACAATAACCTGAAACTGAAGCGAGGTAGCTAGGTAGTAACGATCCATCACCAGCACTAGTGGTACAATAGACTTGTCGGTAGCTGTTTCTAAGGTGTACCGGGCCCAGGACAGTTAAGATATGTGTTTTGTTAAAGTTAGGGGCGTGCGGGTTACAAAAGTCAAATCCTCAAAGACAAATTCCCTGACAAACTTTGGATCCCCAAGGGTACAGTAAGGTACTTTTTACAATCTCATGTGTAGGTGGGTTGGTCCACTGCCCAAAATAAAAGTACCACTCTGACTCCAAAATAGCAGCTTCTACGATTACCAGCATTACAAAAGTTCGGGTATGTTCTCAAGATCAGGTTAAGGTTGAGCGTACCAGAGCAGAATCTTCCAGGGACAAACTTTATGTCCTGAAAGAAAACAGCATTGTACCATTTCCTGAGACAGTGGCTAGGCCAGGAGGTAAACTGATCCAGTTGACTCCTAGGAAACGGTTTCTAGCTGTACCAGGTCCCCAAAAAATGAAGGCTGCATCCGCAACGTGTAAAAATCAAGATGTAAAGATGGTAGCTTGGTGGATATGTGGGAAGGGAGGGATCGATTTCTGTCCCTCAAGGTACTGATCTATCACACCTCTAGATTGAATTATTGGACTCCAAAGGTAACTGTTTCTCGTCCTACCCGGTACAAAAAATAAATAAAATTGGTAGATACTTCACTGCATAGGTTGGTAGGAGAAAGGAGGGACAGGCAACGGTAGGTAGCAAGGTCAGTAGCTAGGTCGGTAGTTAGGGACAGTACATACTGTCTTGTGCCTGCGTAGGAAGGAAGGCGGGTCTTTATAGGTAGGTAGGACAGTGGGTGTTCGGTCGGCAAGTTGGAAGGTTCCTTGACATTTAGGTGGGTAGGTTGCTAGGTAGGTGCATCTCGCATGCCGCCTCCCTCCAGCCATGCCTCATTCCTCCATTTCCTCTCATTTCTACTACCCTCCACGCCTCGTCCTCCCGCTTCCTCTCTTGCGTGTTGTCTTCATTTTCCCGGGCTAAAAATCTCTCACTAACCTGTCTTGTTTGGCTCTCTCTCTACCTGCGATCGGGGGGGAGGCGTCTTTCCCCACCTCCCTGCCTCCCTCAGTCAGCTGTCCCACGGAGAGTTGGGGCGCTGGGAGGACCCCGAGGTGGGCGCGGCGGCCGAGAGCAAACCGACGTCGCGTCACTTTTACCCCATCGCCCTGCTGCTCGTCAGCTCCCACCTGCTGGTCGTCTGGCTCATTTTAAGTCTGGTTTTTCTGTTGGCAAAGTATCAATAAAGCTGCTGACAACTATCAGGCCTTCGCTCACTCTCTTCGGCACCCGTGCTCACCATTCTTCTTCGTTTTACCACTCACACACACCATTGAAACTTGGATTTTGGTCTTTGTTATGTGAGAGCTATTTGAGATCTTTCTGGGGGTTTCATTGTACTGTATGAATGAGGAGTGTTTCGTTAGTGTATGTGAGTGTTTGAGTTGTGTGTGAGTATTCAGTAGAAATGTATGGGTGGGTGTGACAGCATTTCCGGTGGGTGTCAAGAAGTTTCAGTGGTGTGTGACTAAAAAATTAGTTTTCATCTTTCAGCAGTGTGTGGTGTTGAGAGCATTTCCATAGTGAGTGTGAAGATGTTTCTGTATTGTGTGAGCAAAAAAAAATTGCATGTCCTGTCTTTCAGTAGTGCGTATGCACAAAACGTTTTTTTTTTTAGTATTGCATGTGAGAAAGAATGTCTTACCTGTGGATATTCAAGCATTTCAGGAAAATATTGTTGGTGTGTGCGTGTGTGTGTGTGTGAGTGTTGAGACTATTCAGTCGTGTGATTGTTTTCGTAGTGTTAGTGAGAATTGTAGGAGTGTGTGGCAGAAAACTTGAATGCGTGCGCGTGTGAGCGCATTTCCCTAGAGTGAGTGTGAGGGCATTTCAGTCGTGTCTGTGAGGAAAAAAACTATTTGTCGAGTTGAGCGATGACCATTGTCGTTTTGGCCGCCAGAGAAGGCTGCCGCATGGAGAACGTGGAGAAGAACATCGGCTGCCGGAAGTACGCCTTCAACATGTTGCAGCTGATGGCCTTCCCCAGGTCTTACCGGCCGCCCGAGGGCTCGTATGGAAAAGTGGACACTTGACCGTTTTCCTGTCTTTGTTGATGAGTCGCTGCCTGGCGATGGCTGATAAGGTACAATCCGGTCCAGACATCCTTAGATCAATTGGACATGTCATACGTGTCATTTCATAATATGCTACAACAAATATTTATTTTTTTCTACACTGAAACGACGGCTTTTGCCCCTTTTATTGTACAAAATGATGTCATTTGTAGCATTGAAGAAATAAAACCGTCTTTCCATTTGCTCGTCCTTTCTTTATAAGTTTGTATCACAGTGCAACAGGAAACTAAAGTGAACTCCAGCATATTCGAATTTTATTTGTTTGATGACCGTGTGCATCGCAAATCATCCTAACCTATTGACATAAATGGAAATGCCATTAATCAGTTCCAGTCCCCTATAAAAACACCAACGAAAAACTGTGGTTACATTTTGTTTTAATAAGAAAAATAACACTATGGTATTTTCAAACAGAGTAATAAAATAATGAAATAGAATATAAAGAATTAAACAGCTTTTGCATCTTGATTTCATGATTTAAATCACTTTGCCAAACAGAGGCATACTCAATGAAGACGAAACAAACTTGCATTCAAAAAAAAATCTAATCATAACGAAAATGTCTTGCAATCTCATACACGAGCTTTAATTTGAATGGTAGTTTGCTTTATTACACAGAACTTCATAACTTTTTGAAAAATTATTCTTGCAGTTGACAAGTACGCAATATATTTTTTTAAATTCTAAAACTACTAAAAAGTTTTTTTAAAAATTAAAAAAATAAAAACCAACAAACTTGCGCTTAAAAAACAATCAAAATATCAAAACTAACAATGATGAAAATATCTAATATATCACAGCGTATGAAAAAATATACACGTTTCATTCAGTTTTGCGCAGCACCTTTATAGTTATCTTGTCTTTTTTTTTTTTTGCTCTGTAGCACAGATTTTCACTCATCGTAGGTGCACTCTAAAAAACCCAACTGTTATTTACTTAACCCAAATATTTGGGTCAAATGAATAACCCACAAAACAACTTGACTCAACTTTTTGAGTCATTTAACACAAAAATTTGGGTTGGTCCCTTTCTGACCCAATTTGGGCTATTTTTGACCGAGCTGGTTTTTATAGTGCGAGTGGGTCTGCAATGTATTCTCCGAGATAAACGAGGGTTCACTGTACCACTACATACTCAACATATTTTGACTTGTTGCATTGATTTCTAGGTGGCAGTTAGCATATTTTGGGTGCCCATCATTCGTTTCAGTTTGCCAATTAGCATATTTTAGGATTTACTGTACATTCATGGCTGTTTAGCAATTAGCTTATGGTCACGGCTAAATCTTTGCCGAGCATTGACACACCTTGCTACATCTCAAAAACTGTCACATTAGAATACTTCACACACTTCATTCATGTCAAGCTATAAGGCATTATTTATACGCACAAAAAAAAAAAACCCCAGAAGTTATTCACTTGCATAACTGCAGCCGTATTTGGACAGTGACAGTTTCTTTTTAAATGTTTTTTGATGAAATAATCGGCTGGAATAAAAGCAAACTATCGAAATGAGGGGATGAATGCAGGCACTGGATAAAGTATGTCGTCATTTAAATCACGTTACAAATGTGAACTACAGTGATTCCTCGCTATTTCGCGGTTCGTTTATCACGGCTTCAGTGCATTGCGGATTTTTTCAAACATATATATATATATTTTTTTTTAATAAATATACATGGAGTACAGTACTGTATATGTTGCTCTATGTGACTCGCTGTTGTTTTGCAGCTTCTCGCGGACCGTTTGCGTACTTTTTGCGGTAACCTGTATATGTTAATTGGTCGCTACGTCGCGGATTTTCGTTTATCGCGGGTGGATTTGGTCCCCATTAACCGCAATAAACGAGGGATTACTGTATTTCTTTTGTGTCTTCTTGTTATCTTGTAATTATGAGTTTTGGTGGCATGACCAAATATTCTTGTGAAGTGTTCATTTTTCTTGGAGCAAAACATCTTTGTTCTCATAACATGAAGGTGTCTTTCTCGTAAGTTATTCTTCGTAACATTATTTTCGTTTAAAAAAAAAAAAAAAAAAAAAAGACTATTCTTGTAACATTGCTGTATTCTTCTTGAAAAATCATGATTTTTGTCTCCAAAAATGTGACATCCAAAATGACTCTGGATTCTTGTCAATTACAACTTTAGTTCTTATAACTTCAAGATTTTCTCTGATTTTTATTCTCGTGAAATGACAACTATTCTTGAACATCACAATATTTCTTGCGATGTTTTCAAACATTTTTCTTGTACATTTTTTTTAATTGACTTTAATTTCAGAGTTTGATTTTTTTTGCAAATAATTTTATTCTTACGACATTTTCTTTACTGTATTCCCGTCCCCTTCCATTTTCTCTGACATACTTTTGATGTTCAGATTTTCTCCTGTTTCTCTTGGACAATTAATACTTGTTTTTCTCATCGGTTTTGACTTTGTCTTGCGACATTTTGACTTTATTCTTGCAAATTTACAATTTTTTTTTAAAGTGGTGACTACTGGATAAATTCCACATTTCTTTTTTATATTTTTTTCTCCCCAATTCATTACAACTTGTTACATAAAACATGTCTCTTTGCTCATAACTTTTTTTTCTTATAAAATCACAATTTTCTTGTAATTTTCCACTTTTTTTGTAAAGCTGTCACTGTCCAAAAACGTGTAAACCTCACTGTACATATGTGGACATTTTAATTTCTATACAGTATCTTACAAATTTGCACCTCATGGCATTTGCTGGGGGCATTCACAGGGTCACCGCTTGCAGGAGGGTTTTAAGTCGATCCAGGAAGGTTGTGATATTCCCCTGTGAGTGGGCCTCGCATGGTGGACAGCTGACCTGCAACTCAAAACGACGTGAAAAAAAGTTTAGAAAAATCGATACATTATATTATTTTAAAAGTCTACTACATAAAGATCCCATATACAGTTGACTCACGCTATTTGCAGGGGATAAAGACCGGGCTGGTTCGTGAATAATGCTATATATATATATATATATATATATATATACATACACACATAGGGATGTATTTTTTTTTTTTTATCACCCAATTAATGGATTATCTGAATTTCTTTTTATTCTGACACATTGGTCTTGGCCTCCAAAAATCATTGTCAGTCACGCATTTGACCAAAATAATACCTCCACCTTACGTGCATATTTTGCATTGGCTTTATGCTTAAATACAAACAGAAAGTTCCTCGATTTTCATCTATCGCGGACATGTCTCGGCACATCATGGTGCTACAATGAGGGTGCGCAACTCTAAAAATCTGCCTTTAAAAAAAAAACAAAAAAAAAACGGTCACGTCGTGAAGAAGCAAACAAGACACCACCAATGAGCGCGGGTTCACTGTCCGTAAATAGCACACAAGAGGGATCCACATGACTTACAGCGTCGTCTTTGGGAAGCAGCGCCTCGTTGAAATCGTGGAGGCAGTTGCCGTAAATGTTGTCGCCATCAACTTCCTCTTCGTCCATGACCATCACCAGCTCCAAGAAGTAACATTTGAGCGACAGGAGATGACACTTGGCCTGCGGGAGAGAGCAAACGGACTCGACGGGTTCCACAATGGAGGTTTAGCCATAAAACATATGTTCCGGTAGGGGGGGCATTTGACTTACTTGAATGTCGTTCATGGACGGAGCATACAACATAGCGCGGGACTCCTGCAAAGGGGCAAAGATGAGAGCATTTTCAGGCCGCATTGGGGAATGAAAAGCGATAAACGTTGCTGTGCTGGCTGTGGGGAAGCGCTCAAAGCAAAACCATTTGTATACCTTTTGCTCACCTCAATGAAGGGTGTCAGCCTGCGCAGGCACAGCTGCAAGTCTTCGGAGTCCCGAGCAGACAGCGCAGACGAAGTCGAGCTCAGGAAGCTGCGGAGGGAACAATGAAGACCATAGCTTAGCTAAAAATGTGCTTGCGTTGGTGATATCACATGAAAGTGAATGCTTTTAGGGAGGACAGCAAAATAATGATTGATGGGAAATTGATTTTTTTATTTGATTGTATGCAAATTGTTGTCAAATTAAACAACCAAGTAAGTCTTTCAGTATTCGCCTCGCTCCAACAAATGTGTCTGTGAGCGAGCCGGTCCACACGTCATGCCCAAATGTTATGTGATAATAGCAGCTGTGTTCCTTTGCCAATGAGATGATCGGCTAAGCTCGGGGAAGCTCCAAAGCCACTTTCAAGTGGTGGCTGCTGGACTGAAATCAAGTCCTGCTATGTCGCTGTTTGTCGTTCGCTTCCCACTATACCGTCGATTGTTTGCCGATCGTTGATGGCTTTTTAACCGTGTATGCATAGAGATGCGGCATATTTAAGAGAAGAGAAAAAGAGGCAGAGAAGGTCCCCACCAAAGCTGTTTAGTAGATAGAGCATTTATATCCCTGTGAATAATGTTGTATTATGGGGTATGATGCTTAATGCAAATACAAACTGACTCACAGTGCCATCGATGCTGATTTCTGTTAGCCCGTCATGGGCGTTTTGCATTCGATGTTAGCAATAAGCTAACGAACATTTATGATTTGCTTGCGGGAGGGCTAAAACTCAAGATTTTGTTTGTGTGGTCACTATAGATCACAGTTGGCTTTGGAACATAATGCTGAGCAGAGGCATTAACGTGCAGAATTGTTTTTGTTTTTTTTTGTGCTTTATTGTTTTTTTAACCTGCATGTTCGGTTCAGTTGTCTCATGTTTGATTTGTGTCCATGTAAAAGGCTTTGTTTCAGCTGTGGATGCTTTTTAAGGTGCTCTCTCAGTGAAACAGAGTTGAGAAACGCCCGCATCCCCACTGCACTCAAGCAAAAGTCAACAGGTAAGCAGACCTGCATTGACACAAATTCCCATTAGCTTTTGATAAACGGTGCATAAGGTGATATTGTAGTTTTTTTTAAATAACTTTATTCTCCTAAAAGTTAGACTTGCCGTAATTTTTGTTTAACATTTTGGCTTTTTTCGAGTAAGGGGGGTGCTTTGTTTGACAATTATATTGTGAAAATATGGCAGATGTAATCATTGCCAAGATGGCTCTTTTGGGTGCTGAATGTTTCTAAGTTGGAATTTTGATCGGACATCAAATGTAAATGTATAATTTGGGGATTAAAATGAATGAATTAATTATATTTGTCTCAAATAGCACCTAGGATGACCAGAATGAGCTGAATATCTTGAAGTCACAATGATCTGAATCGCTCATTTAGTGTGTAATTTCTGCAAAATAACTCTCCATTTGGGAATTTTATCGTGATTTTTTTTTTTTTTTTTTTTGCACTGGGAACGGTTTGGCAATTTTTTCTTGAGCTTGAATTATTATAATTTTTTGTAAAAAAAAAATGTGGAATTTTGGAATCAGTCCTTTTTAATTGTGGAAAATAGTTGCTCAGGCGGGCTTAACATGGTGAAAATATTGAAATTTTGAATCAGTGAAGAAATGTGGAATGTCCAAAACGGGCGGAATGGTTGTTTTCTCAGCACTGGCACTTTCAGGCACTTGTTTCTGCTTGTTTGCACGGGTACCAAAGCCATCCTACACCGCTGTCGTCGTACCTCAGCACAAACACACAAAGCCACACCTGAGTTGTGCGTCTATCCCTGCACAGGTGAGGGCAGAGCCGCAGCCGGGTGCCTACCTGGAAACAACACGGACGGGTTAGTGCACATCTTCGCATGTTCGGCGCTTTCACGCACCACTAACACTGATGGGCTAATTGCGTGATTGACACAGATGAATAGCTTGGCATTCTTTCCGACAACCAAAAACAACGGATCGGGGGGGGAGGGGGGTCGGAGGAAGGGTTTACACAGCAAGATTCCGCCGTGACAAATAAAAATAACACTCACTTTTTGATTGGCAGTTGTAGTTTCTAAGCGTTTCTTAAGGGTGACGAAAACGCACGGGTGACGCATCCTTCGTGACGGGTGCCCAAGTTCAATTTGACAGATGACTGCGTTTTTTTTATCGAATCGCAGTGCTTCCTTTCTGCTCGTTTGTTTGGCGTCGCTCAAGTACACAAATGTTGAAAGGGCGCCCACTTTTTGTTTGGATCATTATCTTAAATGGCTGAACACGCGCCAACTTTCAACCCTTCCTGTTTTGAATGGCGGGTAACTTGGCTCTAAATTGCTGCGGCGGTCAATTTGACCTCGTTTCTGCGTAACATCGTACACACACTTCCTCAATGTCCAAACGACTTCCTGAAGTCGACCAGTAGAGGAATTGCAATCTGGAAATTCTCCAGATTGTTTTTGCATGTCCTCCCCAAAAAATCTGGACTTTCAAAGGGACCAACATGGATTTTTTTTTTTTTAGGCCGATATTGATTCTTATATTTGGCATCATGTTTTTTTCCGATCGCCAAGTCATCGGTCAATTCATTTAAATAAGATATGATGAATAAGATAGCTGGATTATTTCTGATCGCCAAGTCATCGGTCGATTAATTTAAATAAGATATGATGAATAAGATAGCTGGATTCGATTTTAGATTTAGATTTTTGCCATTTTTTTTAAAGATTTTGAATGGCATTATCTTTGTCTTATTGTGTGATGCGTTCATGTCTATAAAAATGAATTCATAAAATCTGCATACAAATCTGTCAATTTTTTCAGCCATTTTTATTCATGGCTACTCAGTAAATTGACGTTTTAATTCTTTGAATATCCATTGGGGAGTCTCTTGAATGCCTCACCATCCACTGAGTTTGAAATTAAACAACCAAGCAATTGTTTTATTTTGTTTTGTTTTTATCGGCTTCTTCTGTAAACATGCCTGTGAGCGAGCCTTTGGAAATTATGCTCGATTATGACCATCGTAGAAAGGGTTCTGTCAGTCGTCGATTATGACGCAACAGTGAAGCTTATTTACTTAATACTGTCTGCGTACAGAATTTCTCTGCCATGACTTGACAGCTCGGCTGAGTGAAGATCTGCCACTGTCTAAAACATAACATGTTAGATCTCAGAGTTACCCAAAGCGGCATGGTTTTCGGATGCAGCGATTAACAATAGCTAACACCGTTATTACCATAAGTGTCCGAAAAGTTCACATATTTGCATATTCAGGGAAGTTATTGCCTTGCGGGGGACGGGAGGGAGGGGGGCATACAGTAGGGTTTATTTGTTTGGCAATGTGTTTTTTGCATTCGCCTCCCCAATGTAAAATATGCGTCTTAAGATCAATAAATAACGTGGGAAACGCTGCACTCGACGCTGCCTGCTACAGCCAATCAAAATCCGCTTCTTGTTGCCACGGTCAAACATTAATGATTCATCGCCGAGTAGCCGGACGAGCTGCAGCTTGCAGCTAAGAGCAAGGCCACCCAAGTGTCAAGCCTCTGCGTTAACGCCACGAGAAAGTGCAGTGGGGGACATTCCCAAACGAGAGCCAGGCGAAAGTGAAACTTAAAATCGCTTTTTTTTTCTTGTTGCGGTTTGTCAAAACGCCACACTGGGCTGGAATGGGAAATCTTGCTTAATCGGGAAGCGCGCGCGGTTGACGCGGTTAACCGCCCCGTGTGCCGCGCCACCCTCCGCCCGCCACTCGGCGTCCTTAACGCACGACTTGGGTGTTTGTTTCGATCGCAAACGACGCGCACGCACGAACGCAGCGACGGGAAAAATAACAACAAATAAATAAAAGAATTGAGGGAGAACAACCTGAAGTCATCTTACCGTTCCGCAAGTGATCAGCCGGACGGTGACGAGCGGCCGCGGCGTCATGAAGCCGCCGTTGTTGCGCTCCGCTAGTGGGGCAGACCCGCGGAGCTGCAGTCCACGGTCACCGCTGCATGCCGCGCCAGTGGACTGCTACGGGATGAGGAGGGAAGATTCCGACTTGATCCTACGCGCCTAAGCACACCCCGCCCCCCCCCCTCCGGCGGAAATCAAGTTGAACACATGACGCGTACAACTAGCTCAGCGTGGAGTAAACGACTCTGATTGGTCACCGGGGAGAAAGGGAAAAGGGAGGGGGAGAGAGGGGTGCGGGGTGCTTGGAGTCTGTTGTGATGACGCATACACGTTCTGACACCATTCAACGTGCCAATGATTAACTACAATGTTTGTGTAACTACAGACATTACAGGACATGTAGGAGAACACCTGAATTTTATTTGGGCATCAATGACAGAAAAAGTACTTGAACTGCTGAACTTTATTTGGTGTTCATCAGAGGCGCTCTAAATGGTGGCAGGTATGTGTTGAGTCCCATTGAACATAAGTTTGCATGTGATTGGTAAACTTTGGAACACAGCCATATATCCCTTGTGACAAGGGTGTGCACATTTGTGCAACGACCTTATTTCAGTTACTTTTAGTTCCCCTCTCAGATTTTTGTGTCACTTGAGTTGAAGAGGTTATGGTTTAACAGCGGATTTTTTTTTTGTTTGGTGTCACAAAATCCTGGCATTTGAGCAGGGGTGTGTGGACTTTCTATTTACTGTTTGTTTGTTTGTTTGTTTGTTGTTGCTCTTAAAGAGTTGCGGGTCTCTCCAGAATTATTTGCCAGCAAACACTCGTGGTTCATTTCTGTGCCAATGTGTTTTATTCAAGCACGATCCTATGCTGGCAAATCATGTGACATATTTGTGACGGCAGTCAATAAAATGTTGTTAAAATTCTATGCGCACATTCGAACTCGTGGTTCGTTTCTGTGCCAATGTATTTTATTCAAGCACGATCCTATGCTGGCAAATCATGTGACATATTTGTGACGGCAGTCAATAAAATGTTGTTAAAATTGTTTGGGGGGGCGGGGCAACAAAACCACCACCTGACTTTCTATAAAAATCTTGTCCCATTTCAGAATTTGGTGGTTATGTTAATTTAAGAGCGGCCATTTCTTCTTCGCCCTCGTCCTCCTCTTCCTCCTCGTCCTCATCGTCATCCTCATCCTCGTCCTCCTCCTCCTCATCATCATCATCGTCATCGTAGTTGCGTCCTCCGCCTCCGGCCGCAGCGTTCTTCCAGTAGGCGTCGTAGCCCGACGCTCCGTAGCCGTCGTCGTCATCGTCATCATCGGCGCCAGCCTGGCGTCCGAATTTCAATGTGCGCGCTGTGGTGGGCGGGGGGAGTAAACGCATGTTGGTCATGTGACAGATTGGCACACTTCAAAGGCAAGCGAGGCATTTCCGGAGACTCACTAGACATGCTGAGGTCTTTGGTCTCTTGGGTCTCATGGCCGCACTTGGGACACGGCGGCGCTTTCCCCTTCTCCTGCTTGAACACTTTGCTCTTTGCGTGGTCATCGCAGTAGCAGGACTGCGAGGACAATAGGACCATTTAATGCCAGTTCATAGGAGCCAAACCGGGATTAAAATTTGGTTTTTTTTTTCGGGTCAAAGCCAAAAGCTGTTGGATGCACTGACAAGTGTGTGCGGACAGCATTAACTTCTGATAAGTGACACAGGCTCGCTAATTCTTTGTCTTTGCCATATTTTGTCAGCCATTATTATGAAGACAGCTGGCAAACGTTTTAAATTGAAACAAGAATGCACAAAATAATTTGTTGCCCCCTGCACAGGTAAGCAGAGCTGCATCCCTACCTTACAGCGCAGGCACGAGTGCTGGCCCAGTCTGTTACAGGAAACGCCTACATCGGAACACGGTAGAAAAAAAAAAAGTGAAAAATTCATTGAGGTGATTGCTTGCCTCTTTCGAAATATTCGCCAGGACGAGAGTGACTCACATTTGTATGTTTCGGCTTGAAGGACTTGGCAGCTGGCCTGGTGCTCGAATTGATCATCCTCGCACAAGAAGTTTTGACAGAAGGAGCAGCGGAAAATACGCCCACCTGTTGTGGGGAATGAGACATGATGGAGGTCAGATAATCAAAGGCGGTGGGGGAATCAAGGTGGGG